GATGGAGGCATTCACATACAAGGAAATAATTAAATAGCTAAGTCATGTTTGTTTTATTAAAGATGTATAATTAATTATATTTAAAATATACAATAAAAAAAATTTCAAGGCTGCACCACTATGTCAATCAAGCTATCAAGCTGTTATGTTTGTGCATGATTTAAAATTCTTTTGTGTTAATTTAGGGTCCAATCTTTCTTTGCTTATATATAATCTACTGGTTCTCTTTTTACTGGTCAAATGATGCCAAATTGGGTAATGGGGGGGGGGTATCAGCAAATATCAGAATCTGATTATTCTTAAAAAAATAATTAAGATATTAGCATACTGATAAGTTAATAATACTTTTATCATATAACCTAAAAGCCTATTAGTAAATGTTGAAAGTGCCGATATTTATCAGATATTTTTTTAAAATTAATCCTTTTTTTAGTTAATTATTGGTTTAGTTTAATAAACCAATAGCTCTTTATATTGTAATTAAATTATTTCTAAAGCTCTTTGTGCTAAAATAATATCATAATCTTGAGTAGCAGTTAGGTTTTCTATTCAAATAAGGTTTATTTGAATAAAACAAATAATTCGAGTAATAATAAACTTATCAATTGATTCATTGAGGAAATTAAATATGATGTATTTCAATAGTTCTTAAATATAAATTTAAATATATTTTTTTATATCATTGCATAATTTATGCATAATTGAAAAATCCCATGCATAATTTATGCATAATTTGTCTTTATTGCATGCATAATTGATGGTTTATTGCCACATAAAATCATTGACCCTGTCTCAAAATCATGATTTTGATGTTTGGGCTGTTTCTATTGTCCATGCCCCATATATTGAGTTTTTTTTTTCAGGTAGTAAATTAGGATGACTTTTTTCTACTTCATCTACTCTATGAAATCAACCATAAAGATTATGATGATTGTTAAACATTTTATTATGAATAATGTTGTTATATTGTGTGGGGAATTTTCCTTTTATTTTCTAGATTATAAATTTAAGTTTTGTGATCATGCATGTGTGTCATAATAATTATTAGATAAAATTAATTTTCTTGATAATAATAATAATTATTATTACACTTACAATATAAGAATCTTATCAAAAAAAGTCTATTCTCTGTCTACTTCTAAGGTATGTATGATACAATCTATTGCATTTGGGTTCTTTCTTTGCCTGTTGAAGCCTTGCCTAATGACAAAAAATTTTGGCAGGTAGTTTGGCACTTGTGTATGATAGGGTTTTGAAAGATAGCTTTATTAAATCTAACATACAGACTCAATGTTAGACTTAATGTTATTTGTTATTATTTTTTAAGAATTCAGGTTTCCTAAAGGTTTAATTTAAATTCAGGAATGTCCTAATATTGTTATTGCTTTGGTGATACAATTAATCCTATTAGTTCAATATTAACATAATAATAACAAGAAGGATGTAAGTTAATTGAAAATGTTCTTTATAGGTTATACACTTTATGAAGTAAAATCCATTTTTCCTCTTTAATTGATCTTAAAATTAATATTTGGGGAGAGTGTCCCCAAGTTATTGCTTTTTCTTTAAACAAGTTATTGTAAGTTGAAAAGCTTGTCCAACCACCCAGCCCAAGTAAGTTAATAAGGTTCATTTAATGACCTGGATGAAAATTTTGCTGACTTTATGTCCTTGAGGGAAAATAGAGTCAAAGTGTGTATAATTTATAAATAAGCCATTTTCTTTCAACATTGTGATCCTGGGAGCATAAAGATTTATAAAAAATCACCAAAGTTTTAAATTCTATAATATTATTATTTCACCCACACCTTCCAAATAATGTATCAAAAATTTTATTAAACATTATTTTACACAGAAACAATTTAATACAAATTTTAATCTTTATCATCATGAGTAGCTAGGAGGCGATAATCATTATTGTTAACAACAACTTCATCTTCCTCTTCTTTTTCAAGAAGTTGTTGACCACTTTCTAAATCTTTTTCATTCATGTCAATTTCTTCCACTTGTCTTTGATTTTTTTCAATTTGTTCTGATTCATAATCTTTTATCCAAATGTATAAACAACTTCCTAAAAGAATTATACCAATACTAATGACACGTCCAATAGTAAGAATATCACTGAATATTGTTGCTCCAAGAACAGTTTGTATTACACCACGAAAAGCTGATGATATCATATGTGACATTGGTGATGTTACTTTGATTTGTAAAAATCCTGCTATGTTGATTAAAAATCCAAAAAATCCCTAAATATATGTTTATAGGTATAATTAAATACAAGTATTATTTATTTATTTAATTCCCTCAATGTCAATCTCTCTTTCTAACCTAACACACACTCTAATAAATTACCGTTATTACAATTCCAATCAAGAAGGTATGAAGAGAATCAAAGGACATTTGATAAATTTGACGTTCTTCACCAGTCAACAAAATCAAAGGAATGAAACAAACAAAGCTTAACAAGTTATTATAATAAACCAAGTCCATTGTATTTTCCTTTGTAATAACCAGACTTTTCTTTATTACAATTGCATGCAATGCCGTTGTGATTGATGAGAATACACCATAGAAGATACCAAGAAGTGAAACTGCAAGTTGTTTTTCTGATAACACTCCAATAAAAAATCCAATGCAAACAATAAAACATGATAAAAGTATCATGGATGACGATTTCTTCTTTAGGATAATGAATGTAAATAGAACTGTGAAAGGAAGAACTAAAGCACGTGCAATCTATGAATAAGAAATTAATTTAATTTGGAAGATAATTTTAAATTAAAAACATCCTCTCAAAAAATATTATATTTACTTGATAAAAGCTTGCATCAACGTGTTGTAAACAGATGGTGTTAAAACTTAATCCCAATACATTGATCGCAATTAACGGTAATACTCTAACACATATATCCTTTTGAATTTTTGGTAATTGTACTATACCAAAAAGACTTGAAACATGCAAAAGTATTACTGCCGTAACAAGTTGTGAGAAAAGTAAGGTGAAGGGAAGTGCTACACTGTTTAAAACCCACTGATATACAATTATAATTATAGTGACGATGATGACGATGATGATGATGATGAAGATGAAGATGATTAATTAATATTTAACTGTTATTATCATTGTAATATTATTTACCTTACCTTATTTACAAAAACCATAACAAGTGCGGTTGTGAGATAAAATGACACCGAGAAAATGACCATGGAATGACTGGCTTGTTTGGATCTTTTGTCCATTTTTGATTTTTTATATTATGATTTTTTTTTATAATTTGTCTGTGAAAATAATTTCTGACCTATAACTTATAATATATAATTTATAATAATAAGGATATAAATATTACTGTAGAAAGAAGAGAAAGAAACAACGGATAAAAACTTATAAAGGTTTAAGGAGGAAAAATCAATCAATCAACTTTTTTTTTTTACAATTATTCTTATAGTTGTAAGCTCTACTTACTCGAATTGACAATCCAATCAATTTTAAAGCCTAAACAATTTTTAGAAGGAAGGGGGCTTGGTAACAATAATATGGAACAATTGTAGCAGTAGTACAACAAGATAATCTTATTATTATTATCATGTTCTATAAAAGAAGAAACACTTTTTTGAAGAAAGCGGCTCGACTGATAATTATTAAATTCATACAAAAAAATTTATATTTACGAGGAAATACAAGTATTAAAAGTAATTAACCACCGTTTGATCTAAAATTAATATGGATGATAACGAGGAAAAGGAAAGATCTGAAAATTTTTTAACAGGTGACGAAAGAAAAAAATTAATAAGTCTGATTTCATGCCTGTAAAATATGCAATATAATAAAATTATTCATGAATGAATTGAATTTATTCTTATATATCTTCAAGTTCATCAATTTTTTTTCTTTGCTTCACAAAAGTTGTTTCCTAAAAAACAAATTCATATCACTGCCTTTTCTTTGAAAAAAAAATGGTATAATGTGTCCTTCAGATTGGTTTGCCTATATAAAACGTGACAGTGACGAAGGTATTGGTGAGAAGGCTGCTGAAATAGCCGAAATAATGAATCTTTTATAGATGTTGTGATTTTCAAAAAGATCCGAGTGACTAATAACTCATTTTTCCTAAACTTTTAAAGTATGTTATTAGATTTGTAATCTTTATAGAACATCCAAAACCATTCACAGAGGATAATAATAGCACATCACTTTTTATTTTATTTTCAAATTCTTTACGAACTTTAGTGTTTTATCGAATGTGTAATAAAGTTTATAATGAGATAAAAATATTTCGTATGTTTTTTGCCAGTGTATTGCTCTCGTGCACACATCAAAGAAAATTGGATTTTTTTTTAATCATTAAAAGATTAAAATCTTCATATATACGAGTTAAACAATTTTCATGTAAAATTCGAATGCTAAAGTATAAATTTTCGTGATATGAATATATATTCATGTGTTTTGTGTTTATAAAATTTTCGTATAATATTCATCATCGCCTAACAGAATATGGTTTTGAATGTACAAATTTGGCAATTATTTACAACGGTACGCTAACAATGTCCATATTTGATTAGAGAATTTGAGCCCTATACAACTTTACAAAGTATGTATAGTCAAAGCTCGTTATAGTGGATCTCGTTATAGTGGGATTTTGTCTATAGTGGACTTTTTTTATTTCCCCAATTCTCTTTATAATAAAATTTGTTCGTTATAAAATCTCTTTATTGTGTATAATGGCTTTTAAAAAATTTGATTTATAATGTTAATATGGTTCCTAAACGGTAATGTGTTAACAAAAAAATTTTTTTTTAACAATAAATTAGTTTGTACATTATCCTCTTTTTTTTTACTGATGAAGAAATTATTAGAGCAGTGGAGCCAAATCCTGAAGAAGTGGAAATGATGGTTATTTCTGATAAAGAGGCATTAATAGTTTAGAAAAAGTGATTCGATATTTAAAAAATCCACCAGATAATTTTACAATTAGCTATCAAGAATTAAAATCAAAAATTCATAAAATATGTTCAGGATAATGCAAAACAACTTATGTTGGACAGTTTTATTTTATAATTATTTACTATGTATATATGTTACTAATAAAAAAACTGATCAATAAAGAGAATTTTCTTTATAGTGGAAATTCGTTAGAGTGGACAAAAATTCCCGGAACCAAGCGTCCACTATAACGAACTTTACTGTGTATTTGAATGCAATTAAGGATTGAAACAATGTTTCCAAATCATAAAAATATGTTTATTTAATAATAGACGCATGCTTCCTATTATGCTGCCATAACACAAGCATAAAGCCATCAAAGTACTCGCACTTCCCTCTGAAAGACATTTTCCATTTCCATTACATATCACCATTTTAGCAGTTTCAAAGTTGGGTTCATTAGGACAGTGTACATGCTGCGAGACTTTGACTTTTATGTTATTGAATACGATCCACTCGTCCTATTAAAAATAATGTACTTTTTTAATAACAATAGGTTTTTTTTAAAAATTAATCTTCTCAAATAAATCAATTGATAATAAACCGTCATCAAATTGTGGAAGCCCAGAAAATACTTTTCACGCTTGAATAACTTCAATTCTTTTTTACATTTAAAAATAGCAGTAGCGTTGATAAACAATTTTAAAGAATACAAATATATGCATTGTTTACATATTATTATAATAATAATAACGTTCAACAAGAATTTATATTAATATTCTGAATTTAACTGACGAAGAATTTAATAATAATAATAAATAAACAAATTTACTGTGACCTAAACTAAAAGGACAAATCCAAAAGAACAACCTTCTGTTTGAATTCAAAAAGTTTTATTATAAAGATACTTCAATGAACTAATTACTTCTTCGCATTCCATAATGGATTCAATAAAAACTGGACAAAAAATCAACCGGAGGTAAATCTGGCATTTTAAATTTCCTCTTAATTACTAACGAGTTAGTGCACGATATATTAATATGTATAATTTGCATACGTTTTTTAATACATTCAACTATATGCTTATTCATTCTACAACCATTTTGTATATGGAAACTTAAATACTCGTATTAATTTATTATAATTTCAGAAATTAAAGACCAAGACAAATATCATATGACTTTGCGATAACATCATCTTAAATTTTTTTGAGAATAAAAAAATGTGCCAATACTAATATTTTATGGGTCTAAGGTCACGTGTCATAATTTGGAGCTTTCCTGCCTCGAGTTTTCACTAGTTCTAATATAGGAATGGTATCAACTTGAAATTGCTGATCATAATTAAGCATGGGGGTTTCAATAGAAACAGGGGAGACAACTCTGAAAAACACGAATTAAAAATTTTAAAATTTAGTAATAAAATTTTTTTAAAAGATGGGTGTAAAAAAACCTGCCACAAGACCTGCCGTAAGAGAAGATTCAATTTATTAATTTATTAAAAAATATACATATATATATTATATATTTAGAAAGAATATAATTTTTTTAATATTATGGTTTTTTAATATATTTTTTGCAAACATTATATATGTTTGAACGGTAGTATGAATTCAAGCAAATGCTTCGAGATTCAACTCGGCATAAATCACAAATCGCTGAACCTCGAAAAATAAAGTCTAAAAGTATAAAAAAACCAAAATTTCTTGAAATAACTTCAAAACTTCAACATACTATCAACAATGATAATGATGGTAAAACATCTAGCAGGATTATTAGAACAAGCAAAAAAGACAAGGAGGCGGATGCTGATATTTCTACATCATCATCATCATCAATATCAACAAAGTCAGTACCAATAACGTTAACGGATGCAAATACAAATGGAAATATCAATGCTAAATACACAACAAATAATAATAATGGTAAATCAAAAACAGGTTTAGCATCAACGAAGCAAAAATTAAAGGCCGATGAATATGAAGAAGAGGAGTCACAGACTGGAAATGTTAATAAAAAACAAAGTCTTTTCACAAAACAACATAATTTAAGATCTAGGAAAAGAATACCAGAAGTTTTGGTAAAAATTTTTTTTTGCAATCAAGAAATTGATTGATTAATTGATTAATATAATAATTGTTTATTAACAATGAACTAGAAACCAAAACTTCAACCATATGATGCTATAGAAGTTAGGAAATTATCTAAAGAATTCCCTGATAATTATTGGCAATTTCATGCTAATAGTGGTCATGGAATGATAAATTATATAAATGAACAAAATCCACTTGAATTACTTGATGTAAAAGCAACAGATTACGGTAACTATTTTTATTAATGGTATAAAGATAATGTTAATAATTACTAAAGATTGCTCATTATATAATTCAAAGGCCCTATTAGTGGTATGGTTCTTTCACCTGATGGCACAATGCTCGCTTCATTTAGTAATTTTGGAGTTATTAAAATATGGGATACCACAGAATTAACAATGCTTCAAACAATGAGAGATACTGAAGTAAGAATTTGAGTTTGAGTTTGAGTTTGAGTGGAGGAAATCTTTTAGGAAAAAATATCCAATGGTTTTTTTTTTTAAAGAAGAAAAACTATCATCTGACAAAATTTTATTTTAATGATATAATCAGGAAAAAAACATTGAAGAATATTATGTGGGGAAATTTGCACCTACTCATACACATTTGATTGCTGGCGGAAAATTAAAAGATCGATACAAATGGGAATATAAAGAGGAGGATAATCATATATTACCATGTCCATTAAAAGTTAATATTAATATATTTATATACTAAAAAAAGTAACTTGGCGATTTATTAAATTATTTATATTTATTAATATGTTAGATTTTCGATATTATAACGGGAAAATGTGTTGGTAAACTTGAAGGCCATATTGAAGAAATATTATCAATTAAAAGTGTTACATTTAAAGGAGAAAATTATTACATAAGTTCAAGCCAAGATGGAAATTTTATTAAATGGAAGATGGAAGATGATTGGATGTAAGTAGCCATCAATCAATTGATCGAACAATTATTAATTAAATTGATTAATTAAATAATTTATTTAGCACATTGAAAGAAAAAGAATGCATTGACGATGGCGATAACGATATGGCATTTACTGTTTCATTTCTTCCAAATACCGGCAACAAATATTTCTTGGCTACTACAGATGATACAGTTAAATTATACGATTTTGAAACAGGCCAGGTAAAAAATATAATTTTTATTTTTATTATTTAGTTTTATTATAAATCTCTTTCTCTTTTTTTTTTTGATTTAGCTTTTACAAACTTTTGAAGAATTATATTCGCAATATTGTGATTGTGGGAAGTTCATACATCCAGTAGAACCATTGGTGGAAATAGATCACGAGATGAATGGCCAAGATGATGATGATGATGAGAATGAGAATGAGGATGAAGAAGATCATAATAGAGTGAGAAGGGCGAATAAACAGAAATCATCATCAAAGCTTATTATTCCTCAACACGCTTATTTTATAACTAGAGGTGTTGAGATGTTAAAAAAATCTGAACATGAAAGAATAGGTATAGTGAAAGAATATGTGTTTGTATATATATATATGTATTAATAGAAATAATAATAAATATTATTATTGATTTATGAATTTTTGCATTAAAATTATTAGATAATGTATGTATTTTACACAAGTTGATATATCCAAATAGAATAGGAGGTAAATTTCGATTAGAAACAATTAGAATATTTCAACATAAAAAGTAAGTGAAAATTTAAATAAGGTAATCAACAGATATTGTTGAATCTTTAACGAGTCATCATTATTGATTTTTCAAAAAATTTTTTTGGATAAAGTTACATTTCTAATTCTTGGCTTGTAAGAATCACATCAAATGGACGATATCTTGCTGCTCCAACAATGAAAGGTGAAGTTTGTATATTCAATTTAAGAACCGGGAATATCGTTGCAATACTTAACGATCATGAAAGTATGGAAAGTATAGTTTTTTTTTATAAAGTTTTTCAACTTTAGTTTTTTTTTAAAATAAATAATAAATTTATTATTTATTATAATATAATGTATATGAGAAAAGAGTATGAAGTTAGAGATGTCATATTTCATCCTTGGAAACCTTTATTATTTACATGCGGAGATGGTAAATTAGTATATAAATAAATAAATATCATTCTTATTATTGATTATTAGCACTATTATTATTAATAACATCAATCATTATTTTAATAATAGATGGATGTATAAAAATATACACTTATAAGAACAGAAATGATTTAATTAATTTCTTCAACATAAATAATTTTTTAAATATAAGTGAATCAAATAATTTGAACGTGGAAAATGATGACGATAATTATGACAATTCTCAAAAAATGGAAATTGATGACGATGATGATAAGACTGTCAGTGAGGATGATGAGGGTGATGATGATGACGGTGATGACGGTGATGATGACGATGACGATGATGATGATGAACTTGAACAATCAGAATTACAAAAAATAATGGATATTTTACCTAACATTATTAGAGATTATTATGATGATGTTTGAATAATAGAATAACAATTGCACATTTTTATATCTTTTTATTGTTCTAATCTTTATGCGGAAATGGAATTAAAAAAATTGTATTTGCGATAAAAAAATTGGTTTTTTTTTTAGCCATTGCCCACATTCATATTAAAATTTTTTATTATAGAAAATAAAAGTTAAGCTATTTTCAACAATAACATGAACTACATTTTATATCTGCTACTTTTTCACCACCATCGAATATATACATTATCTAATATCATTAACCATATAGATTGTGATGTTCTTTTGCTTCTAAATAATTATGATGATCAACTTTGGAGTTAAGTTAACCAATGGTGAATTGTGTGAAACTATTTGGTCGCCTGTTTTTCATGTAAGTTGTAATGAAGTAGAAGCATTAACATCTTTATTCAAGTCAATGCTTTAGAATTTTTGCAGTTGAGCGATGCCTTCCAAGCGTTCTATCGATCTTTTTCACAGATATGCTGTTTCCTAAACATCATCTCGTATTGTACTTTGATCTAGACTCCAAGCCACAAGACGAAGAAAATGCGTGAGAGCGAGCGCCCTTGTATTTTTGCTACCAGTTATGTATTGTAGGTTCCTAATTGCGGGTTATCTAGATTTGTAGTAGCTAGCTAATAATGATAATGACAATAACAACAATAAGATGAGTTATTAAAATATATACCGGAACTGCTATGTTTCCCATCGTAACCGTCAAATTAAATCTGAACATTCATATAAGCATTCACCTATATTTCATAAAATATAATTATCTATTTTTTATTTATCTTGACAAGTATCGGATAAAGTGAATATATTATTAGCCCCAGATTGGGATAAAATCAATCTGATGTAGCTTAGATTTTCATAATAGTAATAGTAACACTCGAATTATTCCTTTTATTCCTTTTTATTCCTTTTATCGTTCGTTCCGCTCGTTCTATTCGTTTTATTCGAATAAACATTCAATGTATTTCGAATATCAAATTCATAACAAATAAAACAAGTCATTCAAATAAACCTTATTCGAATAGGAACCCTGTTAAAAGAAATTCAGGAATCCAGTTTGATTTGAATCAAAACAAATATCAAATTCTGTTTTTGAACTCGAATCGAATTGAATCCTGTTTTCCTGAATTCGAATCGAGAATTTACCACATTTAAATTATTGCGGTTTATAACAGATTCTCTCTATAATGGACATTTTTCCTAAGCCAAATGGTCCATTATATAGAAAACGAATTGTATAATAATCTAACATAATGAATTTAGTTGTAGCTCTATAAAAAAAAACAAGTAGAAAAGATACTGAATACATACGTTATAAACAGTACAAAAAATACGCACGCGAAAAAAAAATACGAATTCCGTATTATTATTAACAATGATGGTTTTTATAATGGCAATTATTATTTTATCCAGACCTTCCATATAATTGGATTCGTTTGGATCGTTGTTGGTTCGATTCGAATCAAAAAGATTTTTTGAATCGGTTAGAACCGGTTCATATGTAAGTTCTACCTTTAACGTTTTTATTATCTCCTGTCTTTATGTTTTATACGGATCTTAACAAAATCAATCGATTGATTGGTTGATTACTATTCTTTTATTATTTAATTAATTATTTGCCTATTTCTTCTACAGGCAAAGGCTAACATGATCAGAGAATGCCTCGAGATATGATGATACAATGAAAAATTCAGGGAAGGTTCTTTTGGCTTGGGGTTTATTGAAATTGCATAGTTGTCAAGAGACTGTTAAAGCCTCTCACTTGGCCTCTAACTTGTGCCTAGGACTTCACCTGTGGAGCCTTAGTGGAAACTCCACACTTTATGAAAGGTTCCTTCACATCTTATATTAGAAATAGCTTATTAAATCTACCCTATGAAAAATAAAATACGAAATTAACGTGTGTTAAATACGTTCTTAAAAATATATATGTGGAATTAACGTATTTCTTATACGGTTTTGAAAAATTGCCCCTTTTCAAATTTAGTATGAAATAGGAATCAGTACAGAATTTGTAACCTACTGAAATAGAAAAGGTAAGATTTAATTCCGCGTATAAAGCACGGAACTAGTATGGAATTTGTAACATACTGGAAATAGTGTTCCATGTCGCAATCCAAAAAAGGAAACAAAATGGTCGCAAAGACGGTTGCAATCATTTTTATATGACGTAAAGATGGTAGCAACCATCATCAAAAGTTGCGGCCGGTAACCTTAACTAGAAAGGTATCATATGGTTGATTCGGTCTAAAGACCTCCTATTGCTGCGCCATATGGCCAATAACAATTTAAAATTTTCAAAAAATAGGACTTCGCGTGATTTTAGTTTTTGTTACTGCTAAATTTAGAAATGATCATAGCGAACAAATTCCTCGTGAGCATAGTAGCAAAGGCCTTCTTACCAAAATTAGAAAGGTAACTTTCTTTATTTCATACATAGTGCTATGTTTAGATACAGCTGGTCAAGTTATTAGTCAGAATTTTGTATTTATTCAATGAATAACATTTTTTTTAATTTTAAATTCACTGAAATCTTTTCTTAAAAACCAAATATTCGAATAATTTTAATGGTTCGTGTAATTCGAATATTAGGATATTCAAATGGTTTGAACGATTCGAATTATTCTATCCCAAAATTACTAATTCGAATTTGGTTCGAACCCGAACCGAATCCGAATATTCGATTCGACCGGTACGTTCTGGTTAAAAGTGATCTTTTAAATAGGTCTTGAAATCTATAAAATATATCAGCCTACCTGAAGCCCCTCCTCTATTCATAGATAAAAATTACATCAATAATTATCTGTATATTTATAGTACATATTAATTATATATTTTATATTTATATTATATCTCCAAATTCTTGGATATGATTGGGTGCCTTCAAAAATTATTATATTGAGATTGAGATTGAATATTTGATTTGATTGAGATTGGATTGAAATTGAAATTTTCAATCCATGATCAAAAATTATTTTATCAAGATGATTGACAATTATTAA